TCACTATGTAGACCAGGCTGGCCTCGAACTCACAGAGATCTGCCTGCCTCTGCCTCCCGAGTGCTGGGATTAAAGGCATGTACCACCACACCCGGCTAAATTAATAATTTTTAAAAAATAGTTAAACATTTAAAAAATTTTAAAAAAAACACTAGAATTTTGCAATAAAAAACTAAGGTCAACTTGAGGATAAAACAAAAAGAATTAAAATGAAATAATCTATTTTGAACCTACTCTTTAGCTGGGATCACAAATAATGAAAACTGCAAATAAACATTAATGTTTTGGTAAAAACTGCTGTGTCAGGAAGCTATTTTAGTATTTTAATAAAGATGTTATGAGATAAAACAATCATTACATTTTTGTGAAACACGATCTCTCATCTTCTCTGAGTTAATTACTAGTGGCCCATGTAGGAGAGAGTGCAGGGCTTCTAGAATATGTACAAAAACATCATATATATAGCTGGGGACATTATCTCAGGGGTAGAGAGTTTGCCCAGCTTGTACAAGGCCCTGTGTACTTGCCGACACCACCAAAAAATGAAAGGAATGAGAAAAAATTAGATGGATTTATGCGTTCTCCAAAATGGGTCTAAGTGTTTAAGTCTGCAGTAAGTTCTTCAAGAGATCTGCATCAGCCAAGGTTCAATGCTGGTGCTGGATTTTAACTGTCCTCCTAGAGCCCATGTGTTGAAGACTTGATCTCCAACTTCACACTCTTGGGAGGTGGTAGATCACTGAGGAGTAGGATCTAATGGAGGTTTTAAGTCATTGGGGCATATGTTTGAAGGAGATTGTGGAATGACAGCCCCCTCTTCTTTCTGCCTTCTGGCTGTGGAGTAAACAGTTTTGATCTGCTCCCCACCATGATGTGCTGCCTCAGAAAAGCAACAAAGTCACTTGGTCACAGATTGAAGCCTTTTCTCTTAAAATATTGATCGTATCAGATATTTGTTAACAGTAACAGAAAGCTAACACATTGATTTCCTAGAATCCAGCCTGAAACCTTACACCAAATAGAAATCTGTAGGGTATCATGAAGATACAAAGGACAATGACATTTGGTTCTGATCCTCCCCAAATCCTTCAAAACCACTTTGGAGAATAAATAGTAAGTATGTCTGAATGAGAGAAAATGAAATCATAAAAGTAAATACATGAAGTGATTGTCACTCACCTTTATACACACATTGACGGAAACTGTTCGATCCCCTTTGCTACTCAGTGAGTTAAAAACCGTGAGAGTCTGAATCTCACCAGTATTGCTGTGTGTGTCACCCACCAGGCTATCGTCTCCTCTAAACTTGACCTTTAGCCAATTTGCTAGAATTCTGTAGATAAAAGAAAGTAACACTTGAAAAAAATCTGAAAATTGAACTATAGAAATCTTCAAGAAAAGAAAATAAGTATCACATAGATTCATCTGTTGCAAAAAGAAGCTTCTTTGCTGAGTGGTGAGAGGTACTCTTGTCAGGGTAGTCCAAAAGTCTCAGGTGGGTTGAGCAGGAGGGGGGCCTAGGCCCAAGGTGAGGATGGAGATAGCATGGGGGGGGGGGGTCTAACTAGCTAGGCAGAGTATGTGTGGGCCCTGGGGCAGGAGAATGTGTAGCTGGTTGAGGTGCAGGGGGATCAGGATGAAGTAGATGGGGTCTGGCTTAGGAGGCTAGTTTGGAGGCCTTCAGTAGGACAAACAGAAGGAAGTCTACACCCAAGGTAGGAATCTATTTTTTATTTTATGTGTATGAGTGTTCCGTCTGCATGTATGTAACTGCATCATGTGTGCAATGCCCACAGATCAGAAGAGGGCATCAAAACCCCTGGAACTGGAGCTATGGACAATTAGCCACCATGTAGGGGCTGGGAACTGAAGCCTGGTCCTCTGCAAGAGCAGCCAGTGCTCTTAACCATGGAGCCAGCTCACCAGCCCCTTAAAAATAGCTATCTTTTGGAGGCTGGAGAGATGGCTGAGTGGTTAAGAGCACTTGCTGCTGTTGCAGAGGACCTGAGTTTGGTTCCCAGGACTCATGGTGGCTGACAGATGCTCACAACTCCAGTTCTAGGGGATCCGATGCCCTCTTCTGACCTCCACGGGCATCCCACAACACAGGTGCACTTACACACATGCAAGCAATACAATCATACACATAAAATAAAAATAACGAAATAAAAATAGCTATTTTTTAATTTGCTAAGTTCCTTCAGAAATGTATGTCACTTAGAAACTCTTGTCTTGTTTATTTAGTGTGTATGTATGTATATATGGCATGTATGCCAACAAACATGTGGCAGTCAGAAAACAACTTACAGGAATCTGTTCTCTCCTCACACTATGTGGGTTCTAGGGATCAAGCATCATTATCCATTAAGCCATCTCACTTACCCCGCATGAGAAATTTGATTCTGTAAAATGGGTATTTTTAATTCTAGGGATGGTTTCTACTGCTCAGGTTACTTTCCTTTTGGTTCACAGTCTTAAATTACATTAGAGTGGGGCAGGTGAGATGGCTCAGCAGTTGGGAGCACTGACTGCTCTTGCAGAGGACCCGGGTTCAATTCCTAGTACCCACATGGTGACTACGAACCATCCTTAACTCCAGTTCCAGGGGAATCTGAAGCACTCTTCTGACCACTGTGGCACTCCACGACACAGGTGCACTCACATACATGCAGGCAATATACTCATACACATAAAATAAAAATAATAAATAAAATATTTTTTTAAAATTACATTAAAGCAAGCTACTTCCATGACTGCAACAGATGGATAGTATTTAGAGTTCCACAACTGGTCAAACAAGGGAATAAGTGTCTGTGAGATACTTGGCCCAAAGCGACACATCTACAACAGAACATCTACACCTAAGATAACTAAGAAATGTAAAACACTAGGGGCTGGAGAGATGATTCAGTGGTTAAGACTACTGACTGCTCTTGCAGAGGACTGAGGTTCAATTCCCAGCACCCACATGGTTGCTGACAATCACCTGTAACTCCAGTTCCAGAGGATTCGATGCCTTCTTCTGACCTCCGTGGGCATTACACAACACAGGTGCACTTATACATATGCAGGCAACACACTCATATACATAAAATAAAAATAAATATTAAAAAAAGAAATGTGGGGTTGGGGATTTAGCTCAGTGGTAGAGTACTTGCCTAGCACGTGCAAGGTCCTGGGTTCGGTCCTCAGCAAAAAAACAAGAAATGTATATTACTTTTAAAATGTCATATTTCTCTTCATTGTTCAACTGTCCTGTGAGACGAATCTCATGATTTCCTTATTCCCTTTCCTTAGCCTGTGTCCCAATAGTAACTGCTTAAAAGAAATGTGTTCAGGGGCTGGAGAGATGGTTCAGCAGTTAAGAGCACTGACTGCTCTTACAGAGAACCCGGGGTTCGATTCCCAGCACCCACATGGCTACTACGCAACGTCCTTAACTCCCAGTTCCAGGGGAATCCAAAACCCTCTTCTGACCTCTGTGGCACTGCACGACATGGGTGCGCTCACACTCATAAATAAAATAAAATACACTCATATATATACTCATAAATAAAATAAAAATAATAAATAAAACATTTAAAAAAAAAGGAAAGAAATGTATTCAGAGAACTCTCCTACGTTGCTCGTAGGAGTGAAAAAATGGTATAGCTACTGGGAAAATCTGGCAGTTCCTCAGATTTATATACAGAGTTATATAACACAATTCCATTCCTAGGCATATAAAAAAATTATATAAACATATGCCTATGAAGACACTTACATGTGACTGTATCAACCCTATTTTATAAGTTAGAAACTGGAAACCCAAATGGCTATCAACTGATAAGATAAATATGGTATATTTTTACATGCTTTAACATGGGCCTATAAAACATTCCAGCGACAAAAGACTATATATTGTATGTCCCCATTTATATAACATGTCTACATTAGGCAAATATATATAAGCAGCAGAACTGTAGTTCCCAGGAGCTGGGAGTAAAGAAAAATGGAGACTGCTAATGAACATGGACTTTCTATCTTAGGGGGGAAAAATGTTCTGGAATTAGATACTGGTAATAGTTGTAAAACCTCATGAATAAAAAGCACTGTGGGTAAAATTTACGGTATATAAGTAACATTTTAATAAAGCTATTAGATGCTGGGCATAGTGGCACATGCTTTCAATCCCAGCACTCAGAAAGCAAAGTTAGGTAGGTATCTGTGAGTTTGAGGCCAGTCTGGTCTACAGAGAGAATTAAAACATAGTTGTGGGGTTTTGCGTGTGTGCACATGTATGTGCACATTCATAAACGTGGAGGACACAGGTCAACCTTGGCTGTCATTCTACAAGGGCCTTTTACTTTGGTTTTTTATTTTATTTTATTTTTTGGAGAGAGGGTCTCACTATGTAGCCCTGGCTAGAACTCACTATATTGACCAGGCTGGCCTCCAACTCAAGAGATCCACCTGCCTCTGGCTCCTAAGTACTGGAATTAAAGGCATGTGCCACCATGCCTAGCCACCTTGTCTTTTGAGACAGGACCTCTCACTGGCCTGGAACTTAGGATTACAAGAGTATGCCACAGTTTTTAAATTATTATTTTATTTTATGTGTATGAGTGTACTGCCTCCACGTGTGTTAAGTGCACCCATGTCCTGCAATGTCCACGGAGGTCAGAAGGGGGCACTGGATCCCCTGGAGCTGGAGTTACAGATGATTGCCAGCCGCCATGTGGGTGCTGGGAATCGAACCCAGGTCCTCTGCAAGAGCAGTCAGTACTCACAACCACTGAGTCATCTCTCCAACCATGTATTGTATTGTTTTTCAATTTCTTTTTCTTTTTTTTTTTGGTCTTTTTTGAGACAGTGTCTCCCTGTAGCCCCCACTGGCCTGGAACTCACTATGTAGAACAACCAGGCTGGCCTTGAACTCAGGGCTCTACCTGCCTCTGCCTCCCAAGTGCTGGGATTAAAGGTATGTGCCACCACACCTGGCTGTTTTTCAATTTCTTAAAATGCTTTTTCCCACTTTTTCCTAAGTGGAAAATGGAAGTATAACAGACAAAGTATAAACTACCTAATCCCCAAATCTTACATGAAGTAAATGCTAATCAGGACACCACAGTATGCACTTCACTCTTAAGTGCTTCGGACTGAGACTACATACTGCAAATAATGATGTAAATCTAAGTATCATGAGCAATACAGACAACTAGACAAACACCTCCATGAAGGCTCACAGCTCTATCTGTCTGTGGCTCTTCACAGAAGTCCTATCAACTTAAGTAGTCAACACTCCCCAGTCAGAAAACCTGCCTGACCTGCCAGGACTCCCTCGAGTCTGCTCTTCTTCATCAGGCAAGACCAGCACCAATTTCCAAAATATTCGGTCGTTCTTCACAGGAAGGTGCTCGGCCACAAAGGATGGAAGGTCCAGAGGTGCCCATGCAGCATTGCTGGAAGGGACAGACCACCATCGTAAGCCAATGTGTAGGTCCTAAGCAGGAGCAGCACACACAGTGGGACTAACAAACCTCAGTAGCAGCTGGTGGAAGTGCTGAACCTTCATCTGGTGAGATGTCTTGTTTCTGAGCCTCCTTAACCTACAACAAAAAGAAAGGCAACAGGACTACAGAAGGCTACCTTTCATCCACAGAAGGGATTTAATACTATTTACTGATGTTTATGAATGAAAAGTAATTGGTCGGTGTTTCCTGAAGGGAAATATTTAGACACTGATAAACTAATAGGAGACACAACCCCTTCATCAACTATCTGCTAACTATTCACTATGTGCTGGCTATGTGAAATAAACATGCTCTAATGGGAGAGAAGAGCCTCCATGCTAGCTATTGTGGCTTACATATCAATACCATGGACAACCATGGCACCATAAGGAAGAGCCATGACTGGACTGTTGTCTCATTCCAGTGGTCACAGAAAGTAAAATATGAGCAAAGGCTTGAAAGAAACAAGGCAGCTAGCATAACAACTTCTGGAGGGCAACAGAAGGTGGGGCCGGCCATGATGTGCCACCATTATGGCCTGGCATGTTTGGGAAGAGCAGTAGTGAGTGGCCAAGAGGTAGTGGTTAACCCATGGTACAGAGACTTGGGGAGCAGCCTAGAGGACATTAATAAGAGGTGATATGCCAGTCGTGGTGGTCCACGCCTTTAGTCTCAGCTCTCGGGAGGCAGAGGTAGGTGGATCTCTGTGAGTTTGAGGCCAGCCTGGTCTACATAGTGAGCTCCAGGCCAGCTGAGGCCACAGGGGGACCCTGTCTCAAAAAAATCAAAGAGGTGATACAAACCAACAGGATATCAGAGAATCCCTCTACTATGGGTGGAGGAAGCTGGCTTCTAGTCATAATCTAGAAAAAGGCTATGGCAGAGGTGGAGAGACCTAGTCTATGCCCTAGGTACATTCTAAGGATGGAACTACAGGGAGTCCTGGGAGATGGGATCAAGCCCAGGATTATGACCTGTAAGGATGGAGCCTGTCAGCAAGGGAAAGGGCAGGTTGGAAAAATTCAGAGGCATTAGGAAGAGAACAGTTTTAGAACACAGGGAAAAAGAACCTGGCTACTAATACGTCAGAAGAGCTGTTACTATGATGGATAAAGGGAAGTCACCTGGAACAGGGCAGGTAAAAACAGAGGGCAAGGCTGATAAAAGGTATCAGAAAAGATAGGCTGAGAAAGAGAGCCAGGGTTAGGGAGGGAAGGTCACAAGAAACTATGACTTCCAGAGGGCAGACCATATGTCACAAGAACCATAGGCTAGAGAAAGGGCCCCAATTCCTGACCTCATGGCATAGGCTAGACTATCACCTCCATTTACAGCACAGAGATAACCATATCATCTGATGGGCCAAATGAAACCTGCAGAGACAATGCTCAGAGAGAACATCCTGTGACAATCAGAGAAACAAGAAACATGACCTCATTTGTATGCCTATGGCACTTCTATGTTTCCTCCCTAGGACCTGCTCACTGGGAGACAACGTGGCTCTGAAAGCCCCTCTGAAGAGATGACATTAACACTGGACCTGAAGAGAAACAACTGGCATGATTGGATGATTTGGGCCCCAGGAACTGGATGTGCTATAGGAAACTGGAAGGAGGAGTAGGGAGGGTCTGGCTGAGGGAGATACAGGAGAGGACATTGCTGCTACAGGAGACAGAAGGTGGAATGAAGAAATCCCAAAAGAAAGAGTGCCTAGAAGCAAGAGAGTTGGGGTAGATCTAGGGTTCCACCAATAAGGACAGACACAAAGTGTACTTAAACTATAAAGGGAATCGTTAATTCTAAATCAAAGTCTACCACCAGAACCTGAGTCTTTCAAGGTAAAAGTCATGTGAAACTAGTGCCCCCTTTCCTAGTGGAGGAACAAGTTACATATTCACAACCTTCAAAATACAGTTCTAAGCCATCCTCACTTTCTAGCTCTACCCATCCTCATCAACAAATATATCAGTCTACCTCACAGTAAAACTAAATGGGGCAGGGAGCCCTGAGGAGGTACAGCTGAGCACTGACCTCGTACAGGAGATGCCTACTTTCCCTGCATGGCCCAGGTCCAGGAGGCCCTTGGCCAAGTTTTCCTCAGCAATGGGGCACTTTGCACTGGGCACCAATGCACGGAGTCGATCATTCATGTCCACACAGCATGGTGCTGCAGGGAAGGACCGCATCTGGCGCCGGAGTTTCTTCCGTGCTGCAACAGCTTCCCTCCACCTAGAGGATATTCCAGTTTATCATTACTGAGTATGTTTAATACTCACCCCAGGGGAAAAATGCAAATACAGTTCAGTACCATAACATGAAAATGTGGTTTTATAATATTTTTAAGTCTTTTCTAAGAAAGTTCTTAAGATGAAAATCTAATCACAAAGTATAGGCATGACGTAAAGCAAGAGTGGTAAGTGCTAAAACTGCCAAATTAAGGAAAGTAAGACTTATAAAACCACTGGATAGGCTGACTATAGACTCCAGTGGACACATTTACACCTTCAGTGTCCTTCAGACATTTGGGTACAAACATCTGAATGAACAGAACTTAGCATGTATGGTAGAGTGCATGGGGTTCAGTGGGGGAATGAGAGAGGCATGGATGGGGGAGGGGGCTGGATTTGATTAGGAAATGTGTACAATTGAAAAAGCTAAAAATAAAAAGAGAGAGTAAAAAAACACTGAATGGTCAGGCATGGTGATGCATGCCTTTAATCCTAGCACTCAGGAGGGAGAGGCTGGTGGATCTCTGTGAATTCAAGGCCAGAATGGTCTACATAATGAGTTTTAGGCCAGCTGGGACTACAGGGGGGACTCTGTCTCAAAAAGACCAAAAAAAAAAAAAAAAAAAAAAACACTGAATGATCTTCTAAAAGCCAATTTGGCAATATGGGCACAAATTCAATATATATAGCATCCTTGACACAGCAAACACACGAATGTATCATCCAACAGCATGCATATGTGCAAACACGTGAAATGTTGATACGAGGGAGGTCTCTGAGGCATTGTCACTGCTAGAGAGAGAACCATGTGAAAGTCAGTAGGGGATCAGTCATTTAAGACACACACACTTGCAATGACATGATGCACCACCATTGGCAGTAACAGAGACTTGACACACATGATGTTTTTGCCTTGCCTTTCATCATGCAGAATAAAGACAGAACACTGATGACAGCTACAAAAAAAAAAAAAAAAAAAAAAAAGAAAAGAAAAAAGAAAAGGAAAAGGAAAGGAAAGAAGTTTCTAGGATGCTGTAATTTCTGAAGAATACAACATAAATAACACATAAAGGACCAGTTTGAGTAACAAACACCCAGATATTTCTATCTTGCTGAGAAGTCAGGACTATCAGAACAAGCTCTTTTGGTAACTACTATGCTGAGACTATTCATTATTTTCCTTCTTTTCTTTAGGGTTATCAGTATAAATTTGAAACATTTTACTCTATTTGAGTATATACTATTTGTACATATTTCTCCATAAACAGTTGATTTTCCACTACAGAGGGACCTCCACTTAATGGTATGACTTACAAATCTTGACTTTATGAAAGTGCAAAAATTATACAAGTTCAGTAAAAATGAACTTCAAATTCTGAGTCAAATATTTACTGATAATAAATTATTAAAAAACTTATTTAAAAACTCTTTGGTATACATGTAATTCTACCATTTATTTAAAATGAAAGCAAACTTGTATCCTAAAGATATAGATATGCTTGTTTGTCTAACACAGATAATCCAAAGTTATGCAAATTTGATACATGCTAAGGATTGACAGAAAAATTATCTTTTTTCTGTAATTAAATAATTATGTTTCTGTAAGAGCAGGTCACTTTGTACAGTAAAGGCACTGCAAATCATAACACACAATAGTCTTGAATCTGAGCTGAGAGGTTATACGTTCACTGGCTTGACAGGACAGCAGCGCAAACCCCACATATATTATATTCAGAACCAAGCTGCAATGAAGTGCCACAAGGCAAAATGAAGCCAAAATCACCCCAGATTCATTACACATTTGATTGAATTGAATTTTGATCACTGAATATTCAGAAACTTTTCCCTGTTGCCAGCTTCTTTTTTTGTAACCCTCAGTCAGTCACATAATTCCATATTTAAGTTTTACCTAGATTAGTAATATGCTATATAATACTTCAATATCACAGAAGAATTTTGTACAATTAGCTGTAATTCGGTTAGCCAAGAACACAAACAACCAATATTACACAGTGTATTGGGTTGCTAAGCTATAGTATTGGATAGGATAAATGTATTAAATAATTTTCAACCTATGAAAAGTTTGAGTTATTCCATCATAAGGAACATCAGTACCATGATTTGTTTAATGTATTCAGACACTTCCCTGTGTCTAGTAGAGCCAATAAACAGCAAAGCATTCTACAAATATTTGTTCAACTACAAGATAGCCAGCATTCTACAAATATTTGTTCAACTACAAGAGAGCCACCCCCACCCAAACAAATACTTTCAGAACATAAGGTATATGTACATGACCAAAGGTTTCTGAAAGTCTACTTCAACTGGAGTCCATTTCAGACATTCATTGCTTTAAAATATTCTGTGATTCTTTCATGACTGGTTAATGGAATTAATAGCTCATACATACTGAATCCGGTAAAAGACCTCCCATGTGAGCACATTTTTTTCGAGCCAGGCCTGGTGGCACACACCTTTAATCCCAGCACTTGGGAGGCTGAGGCAGGCAGATCTCTATGAGTACCAGGCCAGCTGGGGCTACAGGGAGACCCTGTCTTAAAAAAGACCAAAAAAAAAGAAAGAAAAAAGAACATAGGACTGCCAGGTGTGGTGGTACACCTTTTATCTCTATGCTTGGGAGGAAGAGGCAGGTAGATTTCTGTGAGTTTGAGGCCAGCCTGGTCTACACAGCAAGTTCCAGGCAAGCCATTACACAGTAAGATGGTCTCAAAAAATGAAAAAGAATACAGAACTCACCGCTGTAGATACTTGCAGAAGCACTGAAGTTCTTGGATTGTCTCTTTTGCAATCTGGAAAATTTCATCAGCAAGAAACAAATCTACCAGATGAGCACAGATGTCCTCACAACAACGAGTCATACGGACCCTCTGGTCTGTCTCCACTGCACTCCTAGGATAAAGAGCAATCAGCATGGGAGTTACTACACCAAGGGCTACCAACACTTAGGACCTGCTTTAAAAATTCAAGAATCTTAGCTGGGGATGTGGTAGAGCATCTTGATAGCATATGCAAGGCCCTGGTTTTGATTACCAGTACCTACCTCACAAAAAATGTCAGTCTGTCCTTTATATGAAAATGCAATTACATTTCCACTATACAAGAAACTTTAAGACACTTATTTTTACTTAAAAATTATACACATCTGGGGCTGGAGAGATGGCTCAGCAGTTAACAGCACTGGTTGGTCTTGCAGAAGACCCGGGTTCGAATCCCAGCATCCACATGACAGCTAACAGCTGTCTGTAACTCCAGTCCCAGGGGATCCGACAGCCTCTTCTGACCTCCGAGGGCACTGCATGGGTGCACTGACCTACATGCAGGCAATACACACATACACATAAAATCTAAAAAAAAAAAAAAAAAGTATAGACATCAGAGCCCAGCATGGTGGTGTACACTTTTAATCCCAGCACTCAGGAGGCAGAGGCCAGAGGATCTATATGAGATGGAAGCCATCATGGTCTATATAGCAAATTCCAGGTCGGCTGGGACTACAGAGACCACCTGCAAAGAGAGAGAGGAAAGATAGGTAGGCAAGGCTTAATATGAAAACCCAGAAGGGGAAAACATATTAGTTCAAAAGCTACTGAAAAATACAGATATTTACGTACACACACACACATGTATGTATACAGCTGAAGGCTACATAACAAAAACCACAGTGCTAGGCACGGGAACCTCCCTCCAAGCTGTTGGTCAGGATAGTCTAAGAGACACCCCGAATAAAACAGGCTATTGCTACAGCTGACTGTTTCCTAGAACTTGAAGGTAAGAAAGACCCTATTGCTGAAGACAGGAGATACTTCACACACAGGACTTTGAGCAATTGAGCTGGACCTAACCTGGAAACCTTCCACCTGAAGACTAGCTTCCAGAGTATCAGACTATACTATGCAAAGTGCCAAGGGAGAAAACTGATTAGTGACCCCATCCAGCTGTAATGTCTATGGCAAATACTCTCTACTGGTGCAGTAGTGGCAATTTTATTTTGATGGTAATCAACAGCTGCTGTCTAATTGGATTTAAGGCCCACTCAACGAGAAGAAACTCATGTGTGGTACTGTAAACATACAGCCAAATATTCATGGGTGGAGAGGTCATAGATCCTAGAGAAAAGCCTGCTTTTGTCACATCCCTAGACCAATGAAAGTGTAACACTCACCACTCATCAAAAAAGTTTCTTTTTCCAACAGATGAAGACTATTATAAAGTTCCACAATTGGTCAAATGCAGAGCAAAGAGTGAGTTGCCCAGCCCTAAGTGACACATCTATAATGCAACCTCTACACCTAAGACTTAGGGAACATAGTGGAATAGGGTAAAAAGAGTATTAATGCATCTCTCAACTCTCACCAGCAAAGCTTCTTCATGCAACAGATGGTGATTAACCCAGAAAGCCACAACTGGCCAAAGTACAGAGAATAAGAGACTGCAGAGTGTTTATCTCTGAATAGAATACCTGTTATCAAACCCCTGCCACTGAAGGCTCAGGGACCATTGTGGAAGAGGAGGGCAGATTTAAGAGTCAGAGATGATAGCTGACCAAAAGGAAACAGTTTTTCAGACAGGTGGGAAGTTACCCTATGAACTTACAGCAATGGTAGCAGCATGCACAAGATCCATGCAAGCTCAAGTCACAAATAATCCCAGCACAGAAGTGGGGAAATGTGTAAGAAGCCCTAACTTTAGCTGAGGAACTATTGGCAATCAATAACGGCTAGGAGGAGGATAGTCAGTTTTCTTTAAGGGTGTGATGCTATAGGTTCCAACCAGGCTCCAGTGGATGGATGCACACTGAAGAACATCTGGGAACACAAACTTGACTCAACAGGCCTTAATATATATGACAGAGTACATGAAATCTGGTGGGGGGAGTGCTGTAAGAGGAGTGAAGATAGTGGAGGAGGATCTAAATATGATCAAAATATACTGTATAAAGTTTGCAAAAATTCAATTAAAGGGGGGATATAGACACTTGGAAAGATAAGGAAAAAAATAAATAAAGTCATAGCAGCAGATAAAGTCCAAAGGGACCAACTTAACAATACAGAAATAAACCTTTGGAATTGGACAGATGGCTCAGCAATTAAGAGCACTGGTTGCTCTTGCAGAGAACCAAGGTTCAATGCCTAGTACCCACATGGCGGGTTCCAGGGGAATCAGACGCCCTCTTCTGACCTCTGTGGGCATTATATACATGCAGGCAGTAGTACACTCATACACATAAAATAAAAATAATTAAAAAAAAAAAATTTTTTTTCCCAGCTTTTTGAGACAGAGTCTCCCTGTAACCCCAGCTGGCCTGGAACTCACTATGTAGATCAGACTGGCCTCACAAAGATCCACCTGCCTCTGCCTCCCAAGTGCTGGGATTAAAGGTGAGTGCCACCACGCCCAGCTAAAAAATATATTTTTTAAATTTTATTTATTATTTTTATTTTATGTGTATGCGTGTATTGCCTGCATGTAGGTAAGTGCACCCATGTTGTGCAATGCCCT